GGGGAGGGGACGGAGGGAATAAGACAAGCCTTTTTATATCTTCCATAATAGTTGTGATCCTCTTACAATGGTGTCAGATGTAACTTTCTGGTGAATTAAATGTGGTACTCATGCCTCTCTCTACTTTTCTAAACTAGTGTACTACAAGAAATTTGTTAGAATTGTGAAGAAAAGCAAATAAATTCTAAGGAAGGACTTAGTAAGATTTCTTTTTTTTTTTTTGCTAGTCCTGGGGCTTGAACTCTGGGCCTGGAAGCTGCACTTGAACTTCTTTCTACTCAAGGCTAGTACCCTACCACTTGAGCCACAGTGCCACTTCCAGTTTCTTCTGAGTAGTTTATTGGAGATAAAAGTCTCAGGAACTTTCCTGCCTGAGCTAGCTTCAAACCTTAATCCTCAGATCTCAGCCTCCAGAGTAGCTAGGATTACAGGTGTGAGCCACCAGTGCCCAGCTGGCAAGATTTTTCTATGAATAATTTTGTCACATTATTTTTGGCTAAGACGATCTTAACAGGCTTTTGTGTTTTGGGGTTTTTTTTTTAGCTTCTCCTGAATTTCTTATAAAACAGTAGTTACTGCTAATTTCTTCCTTGGATGATCAGAAAATTATAAAAGTCATCAAAATTTTTCAAAAACTATCGCTTTGAAGTATTGAGAAAGTCAAAATTATTTCTAACTTTTAAACATTAAAATTCACTATTAAAGGGGCTAGGAAGGTGGCTCAGTGGTAGAGCACTTGCCTTGCATGCCTGAGGCCCTGGGTTCGATTCCTCAGCACCACATACGCAGAAAAAAAAAAAGCCGGAAGTGGCACTATGGCTCAAGTAGTAGAGCGCTAGCCTTGAGCTGAAGAGCTGAGGGACAGCACCCAGGCCCAGAGTTCAGGTCCCACGACCGGACCCCCCCCCAAAAAAAAAAAATTCACTATTAAACTTACATGTAAGGATAGGTCCAAAGATCAGTTCAGTTTTCAAAGGCCATTTACTCACCCTCCTCAGGACTTTATATAACAACAAAAAGAACACACAAAACTTAACCACATTCATCGGGCTTGGACTTAACCACAATCATAGGGCCTGGTCACATAGGCCAAAGCTTTCTACTAGAGGGGCTCAGGCTTCTGACACATAGAGGAGGTGGCCTGATCTGTGGGAGGCTGAGTGGAGGAACGTGAACAACCAGCCAGGATTGTCTTGTGACACCAATGATGTCTCCCAAGTAATGGCCACTTGCGGTCATCTCTGTCTGGACCCAGTGTCAGATCACTTCTTCCCAGCTCTGCAGCATATTACTCTCATCTAATGGGCATTCTCAGAAATCATCCAAACTTGAACTTGAGCTCAGGCAGTGGGCTGCTGAGTACAGAACTCCAAGTTCAAGGACCCTGAATGACAAATTGGCAAGCTGGATTCTTGAGGGTCTGAGTCTCCTCAGACACTTTGAAGAGCCAAATGGAAAGGGAGTCTATCTTTCTTTCTGCTGCAGGGTTCTGAAGTCTGTTTTCACTCTCCTAAAAGAGTATAGCACCTTTTCTTTGCTTATATTTACAAACATGTATTTTCTTGTGTAGAAAAAAATTGAAGAAAAGGATTCTGTTAAGGTTCAACTTACCATAAATATGTCCAGTGTAAATATGAGAGGTATCATAATCAAGTACTTTATTTGATGTTTCTACTTTAAATTCATCACTAAAAAGGGAAGTATCCCTCTTCATTCGTAGGTTGAAATGTCTGTAAAAAGGGATGGAAAGAGGGGGAAAAACTGAAATTAAAAGGATTCAAGGTTTATTTTTTTAATTTGCAAAATATGGACAGATCACACAATGTCTATTTGAGAAATACACTAACCAAAATTTTCTTATAAAATTCTGTTTTAAAAGGAAAATTGTGAAAGACTGAGTGGAAGGCTTAAGGTTTGATCTAGGATTAAGGTTTGACATGAAAACAAATCTTAAGCCTAATATTTTTAAGCTTAAGCTTCCTGTCTGAAAAAAAATGAAGATAATAAACGCTATCATGTGGGATTATTTTTAAGAATTACAGATTATAATATAGGTAATTAATATAATTCTTGGCACATATGAGATGTACAAAAAATGGCAACATATCAGCTATCACTATTAAACTCTTAAAAGTGTACCATGTCTTTCATAATGGCTATAGAAGTCTGCCCACATCAGAATTTTTACTCAGTGTTCTTCATGAAAACTACAAAGCAATGATTATGTTCAACTATTTTTTTCCTTGCAAGTAGATATTCTGAAGAGCACCATTAAATCCTGTTGTTGGGCTGAGGATGAGGACACTGGTACAGCACTTACCTAGCAGGCACCCAAAAAATTTAGGTTCAGTTCCACAAAACAAACGAAACAAAACATTACCTTGTTTAAAATTTAATATAAATTTGAGTGGTATGAGTTGTAACACTAGTCACTATATATATGATCTGAACAAACTGACAGGAAAGCTGCTAAAAATAGATAAACAAAAACAATCAAAATTACAAATACACACAACCTTTGATGCAGGAATTCTACCCCTAGGAATTCATCATGTGCCTACCTGCATATAAATGAAATCACTTCCATACCATAAGATTAGGGTATAATTTAAGCAAATATATTGGCCTGTGGCCCTAGGCCTCTGGAAGGTCCTGCATGACAGGAGTCACTTTGTATCTATTCAAGAGTCTATAACAATCACATTGAGTTTATGCTAATAAAGGGACCTAGCAGCTTGACTGAGCCTGGCACCCCAGATGGCCTCAGGATGGAGCTGGTCACAAAAGACACTGTGATGAGAGGATTGGGATTTCAGCCACAGTCACATCAGTAGTGGGGGACTAAGTGTGACAGGAGATGAAGTGCTACAAAAATGATTGCACAATGACATGTGATGAGCTTCCAAGGGTGGTGACCACTGAGGTGCTAGAAAGGAATGTACCAGAGAGGGCCTTCCCACACATTTTCTTTTGCATCTCCTACATCTGACTATTGCTGAGCGATAGACTTTGTAATAAACTATCATTAATAAGGGAACTACTTTCCAAAGTTCCGTGAGTCATTTTAGCACACTAGCCATAAGAGAAGGCCATAGACACCACAATTGACAACAGGTTGATAGAATGGTTGGTGGCTGAGGATCTGTGACTATGTCTGAAATAGGGGGAGCAGTTGTGGGACTGAACCCTTAAGTCTGTGCTAACTCCAGGTACTTTCTGTCAAAATTGAATTAAACTGAACTGCTGAATAGTCAGTTAAGTGAACTGGCTCTGGTGTTGGAAATCATACAAAAAGATTATTCATCATAGCACTGTTTGTAGTCACAAGGATTGAGAGCAATTGAACTAATAAACTGGTAGTATATCATACAACTGCACAGCACAATGCTGAAAAAAAAATATATATATATAATGAAATCAAAACTTCTAAGTTACTTTAGGTATTTTAAAGGGGGAAAGAGTACAGAAAAGGGAGTATAGTATGATATATTTTTTAAATATAAAAGATACAGCCACAGTTCTGTAGAGAACATTTTTATTAGTGATACAAAAATATGCATTAATTATGTATCAAATGTCCTAAAGAATACATAGAAAGTAATAACAATGATCAACTCCAGGAATGGGAAATAGGTCACTACGAAACAAGATCCTGTGTCAGTAATAACTGAAACTTGGAGGAAATCCCATATAAATTTGTTGCTTTCTTGGCTAATCTCCCTCTGCTCAAGGAGTCTTTAGGGTGTGTTTCATTGTTGTTGGTTTTTTTCCTTCTTTGTTCCCCTTATAGTAACTAATCCTCAAAAATACAGTTAGTATTTTTTATTTTTTGGTAAAATCCTGGTGCTTGAACGCAGGGACTGGGCACTGTCTCACAGATTTTTTTGGCAAGGATGTTCTCACTCTACCACTTGAGTCACAGCTGCACTTCTGCTTTGTGGTGGTTAAATGAGATAATAGTCTCACACACTTTCCTGCCAAGGCTCCCTTTGAACCTTGACCCTCAGATTTCAGCCTCCTGAGTAGCTCAGGCTAGTGGCATAAGCCACTAGCACCTGGTAGTAGTTCTTTACATAATTTTTACTCTTCAAATTAATGTGTGGTTTCTATCGCCTAACTTGGCCTGTGCTTGATATAGTCCCATAAAGCTCACATATGGAAATAACCTATCAACAATGAAAGATACTGTGACTTATACATACAATGACAAAATACTCCACAATAAAATAGTTCAAACTATTTATAATATGCACTCTCATGAAGACACAAAAGATATGCACAGTGAAACCCCACTTATATATAATCCTAGCATAGTCAAAAATCTATCTGTGGTGACATGTACCAGCAGGCTGCTGCTTGCCTAGAGAGACACTAAGAATAAAGGAAAACTTTGACATGATAGAAAGTCTTGTATCTGGATTTGAACTGTAATTTCACAAGTCAAACTCATCTCAAACCCCATACTGCATGTGAGCATACTTCATTTTATGTCAATAGGAATCTGCAAGGTGTACTTACTAAAGTAGGCTATACTTACTGGTTTCAAAAAGCCAACAATTTGACTCTTTGAACACCGTTATGGCTGAAAGTGTGGCTCAAAAGGTAGAGTAAGTGCCTGCCTCACAAGCACGAGACCATGAGCTCAGTCTCTAGAACCACCAGAAAGCTAGTAATAATTATGAATGCTGCAATTTTAGGTTTACCTTCTCATCCTTTATGTTAGAGCTATGCTAGCTTTCTACTTATCCCCATCTCCTAGGTCTTCCCAGGTGACTGAGGGCTCGAAGATAACAAACAAATCCTTAGAAACCTACTGCAGGAAGTAAGTGACAAGTCAAACCTATCTTGTAAATTGGAACCCCGAGAGTTCAAAACAGACTGACAGTGACATGGCAAACAACTCCTGCCTGAATTACTATTGCCCAGTCGTGTCCTTTCATAAAATGACTCTGGCCAACTAAGAGAAAATTCTGGGCCATTTATGCAAGCACAACACGGAATACATACTATTTGTTATAAAGGGGATTATGTTGAAAAATTAATTTATCATTACACTTACACTTTGAAACTTATTATAACACTATCTCTTATTTTTTTATTTTACTAACCTCATTTATTATATGTTCTTCCAACAGTAAGAATACTATCTCTTAATGTACATCTTTGTTAAATAGACTAAACACTAAATATTCAAGGCTTAATTTATCATTGGAGATTTATTATCCAGCAAATTTGTCACCCATAAATCCACGGTGAGACTAAGTAGTAGTCTATGTAGCAAAGGAAAGGAAGAAAAAAGGTGAAAGGGGAAAGGGGGAAAGGCTCAGGAAAACATCTACATTAAATGGGAAAAGTCTATTTTACATCACTTTCATGCCTCACACAAACTAAACACACCAGAAGGATAACAGAGAGACTGTGAAGTAGGCCCCTTCCAATTCCAAGAGAGACTTTTACAATAGGAAATCATTGCATACGCATCAAACATTACCAACACTGATTTAAGCTGGACTAAACCATATAGAAAATCAGGTCTTCCTCATGACAGACAAATGAAGGGCTGACCTACATACACAATGGACAGTATTAAACTCAGGAATACTGTGCCAACAGAAGAAAACCTGAAAGAATGGAATCAAAGAAGTAAAATGGCAGTACATAACTGTATCTCAAAACACCACCTAACTTGGACAAAGTGATCTAAGGTCTCTCAAGATAAACATTATCAAAGTTATTCAGTTTGACAGATGAGAACAAACTATTTGTAAAAACAAAACAAAAAAAGTAAGGGGGTCACATATATCAGCAGAACAATTGAACAATTTCACTGTGGATAAACTGTGTTTGTAGTTCACACTGACAGAAATTAACCAGAACCGAAAGAAAGTAACAATAACCAAGTCCTTACAATCATTCACCTAAATTTTAACATAAACAGCTCAGTTCTGGCTTTTTCCTATACTTCTGCAATTCAAACCCCTTTCCTTTCAGATTTCTTTACAAATGTATTTGTAAGGATTTTAACTTGTTATGAAAAATCCAGCAAGAACAAAATATACCATACCCTAGAATATCTACTACTCAAAGAGGAGTGTGAGATATGCAGTATCTATTATTTGTATCTGACATACATAGGCACTAAACAAATATATTCTGTGTTCGAATTTTGATATAATTTAAACTACCAAGTGAGTATTTTTTAAATATTCTTTTTAAAATCCACAGTAACAGTTGCATTTTGCCCAACCCAAATTTACACTCTAGGTGTTTTTATGAGCATCCCTTTGTGCTTACTATAGACTCCAACCTCTCTGTTTCTTAAAATCTCCTGGCTTATCTACAGAGCTAAAGATCTCTGGTACTTATGACATGACAAAAGATAAAGCCCAAGACACTTCCAAACTAATCAACAGAGATGCTACATCATATTTGCAGAATCAAGACTTAAACAAGATTAAACTTTCATTTTGCAAAAATCACATCAGCAAAATTCCTAATGAAATGACAACATATTGGTATTATGAAAGCCCTAAACGCATGACAGGTAAGCCAGGAATATATGATAGTAAGGTCAGGAATACATGACAATTAAGGCAGAATATAGCATGTCATTTACTATTTAGTATTTAACAAAAGTAAAAGGATATAGTGATATAGTACCTGGAACATCATGATCTGTTTGTTCATTTGTTTATATTGCCAGTACCAGGATTTTAACTCAGTACTTCAC